GAATAATAAGAGTAATAATAATAATAATACGAAGAAGAATAGGAGTAATAAGAAGAAGTATATTCATAATCATACGAAGAATAATAATAATAATAAGAAGAAGATGAAGAATAATAATAATAATAAGACGAATAATAAGAATAATAATAATAATTATAATAATAATAAGAAGAAGAAGACGAATAATACTAAGAATAATAATAATAATATTAAGAAGAATAATAATACTAATAATAAGAATACGAAGAATAATAAGAATAATAAGAATAATAATACGAATACTAAGAAGACGAATAATAATAATAAGAATAAGAAGAAGAAACAATAAGAATAATAATAATAAGACGAATAATAATACTACTACTAATAATAATAATAGTAATAATAATAATAATAATACGAAGAAGAAGACGAATAATAAGAATCATAATAATAATATTAATAATACTAAATAATAATAATAATAATAATAATAATAATAATAATAATAATAATAATAATAATAATAATAAGAATAAGAATAATAATAAGAATAAGAAGAGGAGGAGGAGGAGGAGGAGGAGGAGGAGGAGGAGGAGGAAGGAGGAAGAGGAGGAGGAGGAGGCGGCAGAGGGAAGGAGGAGGAGGAGGAGGAGGAGGAGGAGGAGGAGGAGGCGGAGGAGGAGGGGGAGGGGGAGGGGGAAGGGGAGGGGGAGGGGGGAGGGGGAGGGGGGAGGAGGAGGGGGAGAGGAGGAGGAGGAGGAAGGAAGGAGGAGGAGGAGGAGGAGGAGGAGGAGGAGGAGGAGGAGGAGGAGGAGGAGGGGGAGGAGGAGGAGGAGGGGGAGGAAGGGGAGGAGGAGGAAGAGGAGAAGGAGGAGGAGGATAAGAAGGAGGAGGAGGCGGAGGCGGAGGAGGAGGAGGAGGAGGAGGAGGAGGCGGAGGAGGAGGAGGAGGAGGCGGAGGAGAAGAGGAGGAGGAGGCGGAGGAGGAGGAGGAGACCCTCCCCTGCCTCCCTGCACGGCCGCCTCACTGCCCCGCCCCTGGTCCGCGCGCCTTCGAGCCTCGCGGCCCCCAGACTCTCCACGCACTCCGCCGCGCGCCCGGATGGTGTCTGGGGCTCCGGGGCCGACGGGCGGAGGCCACAAGCCTGAGCGCACCCAGGCCACACATTCGAGCAGGGGATCGACTGCAGACTTTGCTTATACCCCAGACTTGATTCCCTCGTTGAGTGTACGAGAACTGCGCAGAAGGCTCCTGGATCGTGCCGCGCCTTTTTCGTAGTCTTCGGGCCATAACTCAATTCCGTAGTCGATCCCCCTGTCTCCGCCTGGCCCCTCTTCCGCCTGCCCGCCCGCCCCGCTGGCCCTGGCCTCCCGCCTGCGCTTTCGTCGTCGTCTGCCTGCTTCTCCCCTCGCCCCCCTTCGCCGGGGAGCACAGCCTGCCCGGGACCAACGGCAGACTCATGGCCGCACGACGTTGCTCAATTCCCAGAGATCCGATGTAGTGTTTTTTTCAATGTGGGGTCCCCGGAAGTCTCGACCCATTCTCCAGGACCAGTTTTTCATCCCGAGTCGTTTTTTGACGGTCCTCGGGCCCAGCAAGGGCCGCCAGAGGCCGAACATTGCGAAAAACCTCCGTCCTGCTTTTTCCGATGCGTTGGATCTCTTGGGTTTCGCGGAGTCCGTAGCCACTTCGGCTCAGGCTGGCCCGCGGCCCCCTGCCCGCTGCGAGCCCATGCGGGCGGCGCTCGGCTCGGCCGTGGGGGGGCCGCTGCGCCGGAGCGGTGCCACGCCGCCGCGCGGCCAGCACGGGGGGCGCGGCGGCGCGCGGGCGGCCGCCCACGGCGACGCGGCGCAGGCCGCAGGGCTGCCCGCCGGGCCCCCCTCGTCATCTCGGGTGTTGCTAGAAGTGCTCCTGGCCCTCCTCCTCCTCTCCTTCCTTCCTCCTCCTCCTCTCCTCCCCCTCCTCCTCCTCTCCTCTCCTCTCTGCCCCCGCCTCCTCCTCCTCCTTCTCCTCCTCCTCCTCCTCCCCTCCTCCTCCTCCTCCTCCTCCTCCTCCCTCCTCCTCCTCCTCCTCCTCCTCCTCCTCCTTCTCTTGGGTGCTACCAGGATTCGGGGTGGCCCAGACAGTCTCCAAGGCACCCCTCGCGAGGCCCCGAGGGCCCCAGAGGCTCCATAACGGAGCGAAGAGCTGGGGGCACATTGGGCCAGGGGCACTTCTGGCAACATCCGATCCTCGTCGTCGGCGCTGGCGCCGCGGTGGTCCTCTGGCGAGCAGGGCGGCGGCGGCGCCGCCGGCTCTGGCTGGCCGCGCGCGCGGGTCTCGGCGAAGGAGATCTCGTACTCGTGGGTCATCGAGTCGCATGTGAGGAAGGGGGACGTGGAGGGGGCTGCGGGCTGGCTGGAGGCGATGATGGCCTCGGGCGTGAGGCCCAACGTCTTCGCGTTCTCCGTGGTCATCTCGGGCTTCTCCAGCAAGGGAGACGCCGGGGAGGCTGTGTCCTGGCTGAAGCGGATGCTCGCGGAGGGCCTGTTGCCCAACGTCTATTCCTACACTGCAGTGATCGACGGATGTGCCAAGGCTGGCGACCCCCAGGGCGCCAAGAGTTGGTTCAACTCAATGCTGCAGCGAAGTGTGGCTCCGAACACGGTCGCCCACAACGCGGTGATTAACGCCCTCGCAAGGCGAGGTGACTGGGAGGGTGCCGTGAACTGGCTGGCGCGCATGCGCCGCGACAGCAGGGTGAATGGGTCGGCAAACCCGGACGAGGTGTCCTTCAACTCAGCGATCCATGCCTGTGCCGACCCCGACCACGCACATGCTGGAGAGGCCGAGCGCCTGTTCCGCGACATGAGGGCCGCGGACCTCTGGCCCACCGCGAGCACCCTCTCTGCCCTGGCGAAGGCCGTGGGCGCCCAGCGCCGGGACAGGCTCTGTGCAGAGCTGGGCGTGGACCCGAGCAAGGCTCAGGGGCACCGGCTGCACAGGCACCTGCCGCAGCAGCGGAAGGCCAAGCCGCTCGCGAGGTGAGGCGGCGGCCCTCCGCGCCCGCCGCGAGGGCCCCCCGCCCGTCCGCAGGTCCCCGTCGGGCTGCCGCCGGGCTGCCGCCGCGCTCCCTCTCGCGCGGGAGAGGTCGGCTTCCGCTCTCCAGCCGCGTCCAGCTCGGTGCCCCTCTCGCTCCTGCACTTCCTCCTGCGCTCTGCCTCGTGCCCCTTGCCCCCGCCCCGCGCCCTCGCTGCGGCCGTCTTGTGCTCCCCGTCCCGTGCCCCCCTCGCTCCCGTTCCCTCCTCCCCTTCCCCTCCTCGAGCCCGCAGGGGAGGACAGACACGCCCAGGGGCGGGGGGTGGGAAGTCGAGGGGGAGCAACGCCGAAATGTGAAACGCCGACTGGGCCCGAGGCGACGTAGGATTTGGCACAGACAGCATCACGCATGGGCGTCCCACCACCTGCCGAGCTCAAGCGCGTGGAGGATATAAGCAGCTATGCTGAAGGAGCTCGAGACACTCCTCTCTTACGTTCTGGCATCGCGCAATTGGATCTTTTTCATGGAAAACTGGTTCCGTTGCAGCTTTTTTCCGCATCGCTGTCCGATTCTAATCTTCGGGCCCTCGCACACACAATTTACGTTCTGCTCCGCCCGCGCCGCACCGCACCCCGGTTCGAAGAGGCGCGGCCGAACGTGGTCGGTAATGTGTGCTGCGTTCGCGCGCGGAAAAGTGCCACACAGACGGAACACAGAGCACCACGCCCAAGCATGCCTGGTTCCAGGGGTTAGCTTTTCGTCTTGGGGGCCTTCATGGGGCCCACCAGCCGGATCTGTTCGACTCTTCCTCGTTTCTAGTTTGTATACCTTGACTCAGACTCAAGTTGGATTCAAGTTTCGACTCAAGTCGACGGAAGTTCGACGCAGCATCGACACACGAGTGGAGCGAGTGGCCCCTCTGAAGTTTCCCAGAACGAGCGTCTGAGATGGGATAGTTAGGCAGTAAGTCATGGGATCCCTGTTTGTCCCTCGTAATTCTGCCCCCAGAGTGCACTAGCGTCGTTCAGCGTCTGGTAATCGATAGGCTCGCGCACATTTAGCGCCGATGAGCCTCGACATTGGCGTCGACTGGCGTCCACTTGGCGCCGACTAGCGTCGATCTGCAAGAGCCAACGAGGTGGCATAGGAGGCTCCCATGAGTTGCCTCAGAATCGGTGTTACCCCAGCACGCTTACACTATATGTGCGTCGCCCCCCCAGGGGCGACGCGCGCACCGACAAATCTCACAGTATATGCGTCTTGGCGGGCGCTTTCTGGCCACGCCGCTGGGGAAGCGATAGACTACAAGATGGGTCTATTATATGTTCGGGTCGGACGCGCGCCTCCAAGGAGGACATATACTATTAGTACGTCTCTGTGCGTCCCACATAAGGATGGGCAGCCTTCATGAAGATGATCCCGGGCGGAGGGCTGTTGCGCTAGGGCATGTTTCTGGAGTCCCGAAACGTTGCGGTGACAGACCGTGCGGTGACCTCGAGGTCCGTCAGCTCACGCTTTTGGGGCCTCGGATGCCCCCGTCGCCCGAGACGCCCTCGGAGAACGACCCGAGTCCCAAAACCGTGCGGTGACCCCGAATCCCCACCGACAAACCACACGGTGTGGTCACCGCACCGCTTGGGGGCCCCCGAACAACGTCGACCCCCAACGATTTGGACCCCTTCCCCGAGAACGGATTTTCATCCTGAGTGGCATTTTGATGGTCCCGAGGCCCAGGAAGGAAGGGGGAGGATCAGTAGGAGTATGAGGAAGGGGAGGAGGAGGAGGAGGAGGAGGAGGAGGAGGAGGAGGAGGAGGAGGAGGAGGAGGAGGAGGAGGCGGGGGGCACCCGAGAGGAGGAGGAGGGGGAGGAGTAGGATTCCCCAAACCGTGCGGTGACCCCGAACCCCCACCGACTCACCACACGGTGTTTTCACCACCCCGTTTTTTGGGGGCCCCCGAGTGCTGGCCGCCCGCCCTCGCGCGCTGCCGAAACCCTGAGGCGGTGCTGGCCCCGAGTTCAAGCCGACGGACCTGCTGAGCACCATCAAGGCTCGCCTGGCCGGCGAGAGGGCCGAGGAGGAGGAGGAGGAGGAGGAAGGAGGAGGAGGAGGAGGAGGAGAATGGAGGAGGAGGAGAATGGAGGAGGGGGAGGATGGAGGAGGGGGAGGGGAGAATGGAGGAGGAGGAGGAGGAGGAGGAGGAGGAGGAGGAGGAGGAGGAGGAGGAGGAGGAGGAGGAGGAGGAGGAGGAGGAGGTGCCCATCCAGTCCGGCCAGCAGTCCGCCCAACTCTCCCTCGGGTCAGAAAAGCAGCTGCACCGGTATACTTTCGGAGGTGCGCGCGGGTTTCTTGGGTCGGCGCTGGGCCCCCCTGGCGGCGGCGCCTCCTGCGCCGCCCCTGGCGCGCTCCGATCGCCAGGGAAGGGAGTCCAGCGCCGACTGGAGAAGTCCGCGCCGACCTCTACAGTCAACCCGCATAGTGAGGATGGGCAACCTTTCTAAGGATACCCTTGCATCCTTGCCCCTTCGGCCCATCCTCAGCAACTCTCGCTGGCCAACCTGGTCGGAAAAACGTTCACATGGGCCTCCAAGGCCCTTGCATCCTTGCCGCGCATCCTCATGATACGGGTTGACTGTACTCTCTCGCCCCTCCCGTCCTCAGATATGCTGGTGTGCAGCGCGGGAGGGACCGTGCGGCACCGGCATTCACGGGCGGCGCGCACGACCAGACGGGAGGGCCCTCCAGGGACCGCTCGGCCCTGCTCGTGCTGCCACGTGGATTACGAAGCGTGTCCGCTGTACCTCGGCGGCCAGCGAGGGGGGGAAGTACGCGAAGGTCTTCTCAGACGGCGGCGGGTCTTCTCAGAAGCCCTCGCGCCTTCTGAGAAGTTTTTTGTCTCTTCGGGGAAGGCTTCGCAAACTTCTCAGAAGGCCGGGGGATTTCCGAGCCTTCCGAGAAGGCCCGCCCTTTCTCACTTTCCCCCCTCGCTCGCTCGCCGCCAAGTAATGTGCGCTTCCAGTGGCTGACCACCCGCGCGTTGTCCACGGGGCCCTCTGATGCCACGAGACTGGGGCCAGCTCTGGCTGCTGGGCGGCGATTTCTTCACGGCGGCCCGACCCTGCAGCGGACCTGGCCGAAGCATCGCAGCCTCGGCCAGGAAGTCCCCCTTCGGCTTCCCCGAAGAGCTCTTCCCACTGGACCTCACCGAATCCTCCGACGGGTCACGGGCCACCCCGCGCTGCTCAGCATGAGCCGCTCTGGTGCCGTCCTGCCCGACGGCCTGTCCTGCCCATCACCCACGCGGCGGCGTCGGGCAGCGCGCTCCCCGGCCCGTGGGCCATCCAGAGCATGTGCTGCAAGGCCTTCGCTCCGTGCGCTTGCGTTCCAGGTCCGCAGTCAGACTGGGCGGGGGGGAACGTGCCCGATGCCCTGCTGCTGAGTGGCACCTTTGTGTGCGACCGTCATGTTGGGAGTCGGCATGCGCTCTGTGAGTCAGTCGATGAAGAACGCGTGATTTAATCTTGACGCCGGAGTGGTGCAAGCATTTTTTCTTCAGCCGTGTCGGGTGGCGTCTGCTGCTGCTGCTGCTGCTGCTGCAGCAGTGCGAACGGCCCTATCAGGGGGTGGTAGGCTTGTCTCGCCCCGCATCGTTGCACGTCGCAGAGTCTGCGACCAGTTCAGCACAGCACTTTGAGTTCCAGGCCGGTTGTCTACAAGATTACTCAAACCATATCAGTTCGCACGAGTCGCGCACAGATCATTGCGCATGCCTTCGGTGTATATAGATTGGACATCGCGGAGCAGCAGTACGGAAGTCATCCGATCGTCATCAATTCAGTTTTCGTGCATTTCGTTATTCGGAGGAGGAGGAGGAGGAGGAGGACGAGGAGGAGGAGGAGGAGGAGGAGGAGGAGGAGGAGGAGGAGGAGGAGGAGGAGGACACCCTGGCACGAACTACCGAGTCCTGCTGCGCGAGGGCAGCCTGATTTCCTGGCTCCTCGTCCGCTGGTGCCCTCCTCCCGCCCCCTCTCTCTGGGACTCCTGCGGCGGGTCTGCGCCGCGCTTCGACGCGGCGGCGATCTCGGCGCGGGAGCTCCGCGCTGACCGCGCCGCCCGCGGCCTGGAGCCCGGCCGCCTCCGAGCGAGCGCCGCCCTCGGCACGGCGAGGGCCGCTTGGGTTCGAGCGAGCCGCGCCGCGCCACGGAGAGGCCCACGCGGCGCCGGCGCCGTCGCAGCGCGGGGGCCTGCCGTGCCCTCAGACGGCCAGCCACCACGGCGCTCGGCGGCAGGTCCATGGGGAGCCCGGCATGTCCTCGTCCTCCTCCTCCTCCTCCTCCTTCTCCTCTGCCTCATCCTCCTCGTCCTCCCTCCTTCTCCTCCTCCTCCTCCTCCTCCTCCTCCTCCGTCTCCTCCTCCTCCGTCTCCTCTCCTCCTCCTCCTCCTCCGCCTCCTCCTCCTCCTCCTCCTCCGCCTCCTCCTCCTCCTCCTGCTCCCCGGCGCGCGGCGTGGCGCGGCGGGCGCTCGGCGGCAGATCCATGGGAAGGTCTGCTCTTGGAGTGCGTTCGCGTGCTCTCTTGGTGTCCGGCAGGCGGAGGGACAGCGCCCTATGTGTAGGGCCCACTGCGGCGTCGACTTGCGACGACTCGGCGTCGGCCAGCTTCGAGGAGTGTCGCTCAGGGTCGGTTCGCAATGGCCAGCACCCAGGGGTCGACCCGAGCGGTGTTTTGGCGATCTCGTGCACCGTCTTCGTTTCGATCTCGTCCTGCAGCAGAGGCGGGCTGAGGAAGCGAGGGAGCACGAGAGCGCAACGAGAAGACGAAAGGCACTGCTCAGGTCGACTACTGGAGGCCCCCCCACGAGTTGCCACGGAGCCCTCCGACGGCCAGCCACCACGGCGCCTCGAGCGCCGTGGCGCGCCCCCAGCTGCCCGCCAACGCCATCGACATCTCGGGCATGCTCCCGCAGGCCAGGTACGACCTGCCGAAGGCGACCTCCCCCCGCGGCCGCGGCGCGCCTGGGCCGCGCGGCTCCCCCTGCCGCGCGGGCTCCCTCGAGGCTCCTGCTGTGGAAGTCGCGACGTTCCCACGCGTAAGATCAGTGGACGTCCCTGGGTTCTCAGGGTTGGGTATCTTGTGGAAGGTTTCTTGTGGACGGGCCCCTACTGTAGCGGGGGGTGGGGGTAGATATCATGGCGGGGGCCGTGATGTCTCCCCGGATCTCATGGGCCCCCCCCCTCTTCTTCCTTTGATGCGCGTCGTGGTGCCGCCGCAGCGGCGCCTGGCCCGATGCCGCGCGCCCGCGCTCCTTTTCGCTGCTCTTCCCCTTCCCCCCCTCCCCTGCCTTTGGCCTCCGTCCAGCTCCGGCTCCCTCCTCTCTGGCTCCCCTCTGTCTTTGCCCCCCCTCACGGGGTCTCCTCAATCCCCTGTTCCTTGTACCAGCTAGCTTCCTCGCTTTCGCCCTACTTGGCCGCGTCGGTGGGGTGGGGATGGGTGTTTCGTCCGAGCCCTTTATATGAGCCATTCATCATCCCGACGCTTGAAGTTTGCAAGAGTTATGCGGGTGCAGAAGGCACATTCGGGTAACAACAGATGCAACAGTTCGGTTAACAACAAGATGCAACAATGTCTCAGCGCCGCGCGCATTCGGTTTACGACACATGCAACAGTCACAAGGATGCAGGGGGGAGCCAGTCCTGGGGAATGAGCTGGGAAGTTTCGATCGGGAGCGCCGGCTTTGTTGGAAAGCCGGCTTTCGGCGGCGAGTAAGAGCCCCCGCCCCGAGTTGGAGCGTTGTTATTGCTGACGAAAACACTCACTGGCGCCCGGCCGACCCCCCCCCAGCAACAGCAACAGAGCAACACAGGAGAACCTCGAGAGCGTTTTGGGCTTCCTGGAGGGCCTCTACCGCCTCCTGGAGCGCCTCTAGGGCCTCCTGGGGAGCCTGTGGGACCTCCTGGCGAGTGTCTCGGGCTTCATGGAGAGCGTCTTGGGCCTCTTTGAGCGCGTCTTGGGCCTAATGGAGCGCCTCTGTGGCCTCCTGGAGCGCGTCTTGGGCCTCCTGGAGCGACTCTGGGGCCTCCTGGAGAGCGTTTTGGGCTTCCTGGAACGCCTCTGGCGCCTCCTGGAGCGCCTCTGAGGCCTCCTGGGGAGCCTCTGGGGCCTCCTGGAGAGCGTCTTGGGCTTCCTGGCAAGCGTTTTGGGCCTCCTGGAGCGCGTCTTGGGCCTTCTGGAGCCCCTCTGAGGCCTCCTGGAGCGCCTCTGGGGCCTCCAGGGGGCCTCAGAGGCGCTCCAGGATGAGGATGAGGAAATGCTGCACCTGCTGGTTTGATGCGACCTCCCGAAGATGTGTTCTTGGGACTCGGCATGGCGCTGCGACGCTTTACTTCATGGCCCGCACAGAGTTGGCCGTTCGCCCCTTCGTCTTTCCCATCTTGTCGGACAGGGGCATTGGCGGAGCTGCCCTAGTCGGCTTTCGAGAGAGGAAATCTTCAAGGAGGCGTATCACAGGATGGTGGGCGCCCAAGGAAGCGGTGGGGCCCTCTTTTCCATCCGCCCGTTCAGCCTGCCCTCGGAGCGGATCCTCGATAAACGGAACGCTAATCACTGCGCCCAGGTTCTACGGCGGGAACCCCTCGGCAGAGAAGGTGCAGGCGTGGTTGGAGAAAAACATAAAGTGGGGACTGTTGCACTGCCCCAGCCTGAGGACCGTCAAGACGCACATGGTCAACTGGCTCGCCCTCGAAAAGTGCCCGGGGGCATTGCTGCTTTTGGATGCCGCCGTGAACCGTTGGGGGCGAGACAATCTGCTGGACAGGCCCACACAGCTTGGGACGATCACCGCGAAGACGGACGCTACCTCGCTGGGGTACGTCTTGGAAAGCCTGTACACGCGGATGTGGCGGAAGAGCGTGAAGGACCCGTACAGCGCCTCCACCATCGGCCAGGCAGTGGGCGAGATCTTGTGGGCGAAGAAGTACGTGGCGAACTTTCTGAAACAGTGCCCAGACTTGTTCAAATGGAGCACTGGCTGCAACAACACTGAAACAACAGACACACAGGAGAACGCCGCCGAGAGAAAAGTAATGGTCATGGCGAGGCAATACCTCGACTCGCCGCTCAAGTTCTTCGAGAAGACTGAGGGGCCTGACAAGGGCCCGACCTGGGTGCAGTCACTGCCGACCGTGGCGCTGCGCCTGGCGATGAAACACTTCCTCGACGTAGGCCAGGACTTCTACAAGCAGGAGATCTCTGGCGCCCTCACCCAGCCGTACGCCGAGCGCTACAACATGGATAAGTTCCACAGGAGCGTGCGAGTGAACAAGAGGTTCTTCGAGAAGTTCCGAATTGCGCACGACTCCCTCGTGGGAAACCCCCAGGAACCGTCAGAGCAGAAGCCCGCAGACAGCGACACGGTCGGTGCTGCAACAGCGGGCGGTGCTGGAACAGCGGAGGCGGCCTCCGAGGACAAGAAGAAGATCGACGTCTCCCCGAGCGACGTGAATAACTTCAAGGCGCTGTGCGAGCAGCAGTGTTCTAGCCAGCTGGATACGCGGGTCGTCATGATCACGGCGGAGGGCAGCGCCATGGATATCAACGCTTCGGTTACTCAGACACGCCTATACCAGAACCTCACAGAGAATGCATCAGTGATGGGCTTCTACGATGTCAAGAATGCGAAGTTGTGCTGCGTCTTCGGGGGGCAAGGCCTCGCGCGCCGTGAGCCCGCGCTGGACGAGTTGGATTTCGCACGCTACCTGAAGTCCCTGGATCCGCTGATGGTCGGTGGACGGGACGTGCTGTGGGTGCTGACGGGCCACGCGCAGTCGAACCCCCCGCAGATCCAGAAGATCCTCGCCGCAAACAAGTTCCGCACGGTCACATGCCACCTCGCCTACAACACGAAGCAGATGCAGCAGTGCGGCCACTTCCAGAGGCAGCGAGGCCTGGCGAACTCGCGCTCGCACGAGGTCATGTTGCTCTGCTACAAGGGGAGGAAGCCGAAGCAAATGGCCAAGATCAGGCAGTTCGTGGACGCGGGCAGCCCCCCTCTTCAACGAAGTGATGAGGAACGTGCCTGTCCTGCCGCAGAGGAGCCACGCCCTCGTGCCCAAGCAGGTTCGGGAGACCAGCTTTGCCAGCGTGGTCGGCCAGTGCGTCACCGAGGTGGAGGCCGAGGAGCGAGAGAAGTTGGGGTACTGCCACCCTCTCCAGGAGGACGAGGGCGCTGATTGTGGCGCCGAGGCGCGCGACGAAGCTGCAACGGCCGTCCGCCCCGAGACGGCCTTCGTGACTGCGGCCGTGCAGAAGCGGAAGCTCTACCGCCAGCTCACGGGAACGGAGGTGCCGTGGTTCCCGCACGACAACGGCATCGAGCTCCTCAAGGAGCTCTGCCACGAGGCGGGGGAGCCCAGGTGGGTGTACTTCGGCACGCCTGCGGGCGGCGCAGGCATGCGCGGCTGCATCGAGAGCGGGCGCAGTGTGTTGGCCTTGGCTTTCGACGGCCACCACGCGAAGGTGCTCGAGCCGTTTCTCGTGGAGCGTGCCGCCGAGGCCATGATCGGGAGCAGCACCATGGTGTTCGTGAACGAGGACCTGCTTGCACGCTCTGTGCAGTTGCGCCTGACAAAAGGAGGGCCGAAGGAGGGCCCGAAGGATGGGAAGAAGGACGACGACAAGAAGGAGGGCAAGAAGGAGGACAATAAGAAGGACAAGAAGGATAATAAGAAGAAGGACGAGAATGATGAAAATAAGAAGGGTCTGAAGGGTAAGAAGCGCGACGCCGACGCGTCCTCGACCTCAGACTCCTCGTCCTGAGACGACTCCTCGGCCTCGGGGAAGAAGAAGGAGAAGCCGAAGACAGGCTGAAGCAGAGCACAGGCTTGAGCACAGGCTGCAACAGAATTCGACAGCTCCGACGCAGGAGCCAGCCCGCGCGCTCCTGTTCCCGTGGAGCTGCCACTTGTTTGATTTTGGACTGCAACAGTCGCGCGCTGGCGGCGTCGCCTCCGTTCTCGTAATGGGACGCGCGCCGCATTCTGGCCTGTGCAGTACACGACACCTTGCGTACATATAGGAACATAGTCCTCCGTCATCCCTTCGTCGCCATCTGTCGCACTTGGCCCGCGGCGCAGGCGCGGCGCAGAGTCAGGATGCTTACCTTTTCCAAAGGGTACCCTTGCATTCTACGCTTTCCGTTCCGAAGCTGGGGAGCTGGATAAACAACAGATACCATGCCGCCAAGGCCCTTGCATCCTTACGGCGCTCTGTAGGGGCGGGCCAGGATGGGGATGCAGCAGGGTAGGGGAGACACGGGAAGCAACGCTCCGAGGAGCGGCCGCAGGGGGAGGAGGAGGACGGAGGAGGGGCCCGCAGGCGTCTCGGTTCACTGAAACTTAGCGGGCCCGCAGGACGACACTGCCGTCGGCGGGCCTCCGCGGCGATGGCTGCCTCGGGCGGCAGCGGTCGCGGCAGGAACAAGGTTCTCTTCTATAAGTGGGGCTGTTACCTGCAGGGTGACGGGCCGAACAACGACAAGATCAACAAGAAGCTGAGGGGGACCTGCAGCAATAACATGGCCAAGGTGGCAAAAGGGGCCCCGACCGCAGAAGTGACGCTGGAGAAGGTAGCGAAGAACAAATGTGTGTTGACGTGGTCAAAGCCAGTTTCGTATGACACCTGCGCGCGGCTCCTCAAGATTGCGCTGGGCGCCAACTGGAAAGACTATGTGAGCAAGCCTGCGGGGGTGCCAGGGTGCGCGAAATGGGCTGGAGCAGCTAACAATGCAGAAGATGAGCCAGCTGTCGCCGAGGGCCTCGGTGTCGCAGGAGAAACCCTAGAGGACGCGCTGGGGAAGGTGCTCGCTCCCGCCGCAGACGGGGTATCGGAGCCTACGCCACCGGCAGCTGCTCGTCGCGGGTCTGCTGGTCCGAGAGCGGTGTCCCACGGCGAGGGTCGTGTGAATCTACTTGCACTGAAGATCGACGCGGT